CCTCAGCACAGTCCGCGGGGTTCTGAAATGGCCTCGCCCAGGTGAGACAGGGCCAAGGACATTCTCCGAGTTCTTTGGCCTCAACGTATTGATCCCGGTATTAAAACATCTCTCTTTTTTTTTAAACATGTTTCAACTTGTTTCTTTTACATTTTTCAGTGGCCCTTTTCTTCAACTCAAGGCCTGTCACGATTTCGAGGAAACAATGCATGGTCATTTTCGCCGCGATCTTATTACTCAGGGTTAAATGCGATCTCTATTCCGTGATGTTTTTACATTTTTACCTTTCTCAGTGACATCGCGTGTATTTTGAAAACAATGCGGTAAAAAAACAAAGACAAAACTATCCTTGCAGTGAAAGGAATGTAAATACCAGCATTATGTATCAGTACCGAAACCCACGGATCTAATCAAATGCGACTACAATAAGAATATAATAGTTAGCCTTACAAGTCTATCCATTTTCTGTGATGCAAGATAGTGACAGATTAGTGAATACATCCATTTTCTATGTCGAGATTTTTTCCATAGTATACGCTGACATTGGTAATTTCATCTACCGGTGAAATCTTTATCTACTGATTTTACAGTCTCGACTTTTGAAAAAGAAGCATAAGTATATTTTATTAAATTTCACTCCATGCGGCCAAGTTTTTTCCATCTGTCCTCCCTCACTCATTCACTTGCTCCAACTCTTACTATTACTCTTATTCTTCTCTCTCTCTCTCTCCCATCCCTCGCTCCCTCTCTCCCCCTGCCCTCCTTCACTCTCCCTTCCCTCCCTCCCTCCCCCTTCCCTCCCTCACTCTCCCCTTTCCCTCCCTCACTCTCCCTTCCCTCCCTCACTCTCCCTTCCCTCCCCTCACTCTCCCGTCCCTCCCTCCCTCTCCCGTCCCTCCCTCCCTCTCCCGTCCCTCCCTCCCTCTCCCCGTCCCTCCCTCCCTCTCCCGTCCCTCCCTCCCTCTCCCGTCCCTCCCTCCCTCTCCCGTCCCTCCCTCCCTCTCCCGTCCCTCCCTCACTCTCCCGTCCCTCCCTCACTCTCCCGTCCCTCCCTCACTCTCCCGTCCCTCCCTCCCTCTCCCGTCCCTCCCTCCCTCTCTCGTCCCTCCCTCCTTCTCCCGTCCCTCCCTCCCTCTCCCGTCCCTCCCTCTATCTCCCTTCCCTCCCTTTCTCCCCCTTACCTCCCTCTCTCCCTCTTTCTCCCCTTCCCTCCTTCTCTCCCTCTTTCTTCCTTCCCTCCAACCCTCCCTCCCTCCAATTCCCTTTCCTTCTATCTCTCTCTCCATCCCCCTCTCCCTTTCGCTTTCCTTCTCCCTCTCGTTTAATATTACTGGCCTAACCTATGCCCTGCGAGCCCACGCGCAAGTGCTTGCAAACACGCCTATACACGCAAAGTCACAAACACACATACACACGCAAACAAACAAATAAACTCAGATTCATCCTCAGACTCACACTTACACTCTCACACTCACACTCACACTCACACTCACACTCACTCTCACTCTCACACTCACTTTCACTCTCACTCACATTTACACTCACACTCTCACTCACATTTACACTCACACTCTCACTCTCACACTCACATTTACACTCACACTCTCACTCTCACTCTCACACTCACATTTACACTCACACTCTCACTCTCACTCTCACACACACTCACACTCTCACACACACTCACATTTACACCCACACACACCTTCACACACAAACGCTCATTCACTCACTCACTCACGCAGACCCCGTTACTCACACTCGTCTCCCTCCCCCTATCAAGACTTCCCTTCCCTCCCTTTCATTGCTCCCTCCTTTCCTCCAAGTCTCATTTTCTCTATCTGCTCGCTCGACCCCGCGTCTAGTCATGCAACACCAATGCAAGGATATGTTAAATGCTCGCAGGAATGCATTGCAACATGGAGCCTTGGCATGGGGCTTGCAGCGGCGGAAGTGAGATAGGATTGATCAATTTTATAACTTCTCCCCATCTGAAAAAAAAAAAATGTCTTTCATATTCATCCATCATTTTCTTATTCCCGAACTTGGACATTCCTCGCTTTGTTTCTGGATATCCCTATACCCACTCCTATCACTCTCTCTTAATCTTTATCTTTTCATACATCAATACTTTTAATAAGCTGCAACCTTTTCCTCTCTTTCTCATCCTCCCCTCCCCTTAATCTGCTCCCATTTCCTTTTACCGAACACCCCCGACCTGAGAGGATAACACAGCAACACACAGACACGGGCAAGCGGAGGAACTTTTTGTTTTAGCAAGAGTAAATAAATCCGACACCAGCGAATACCCAGGAACTCTCAAGGATACAGTTCTCAACAGGCACCGTTTTTTTTCTAGCATTTGCACAACCGTGGAGTCCAATCAACCCTTGCAACGCCTTCTGCGAGAGACGGAAAGGGGGCACTCACCTGGGTGTGGCAGACGGGAGGCAGCACTCTGGAGCTCACTCAGAGCTCTCATGTGGACTTCTCGGGAACTCTGCCAAAAGAAACACATAAATTAATGACTTAATTAACAGAGGGATAATAAAATACAAGAAAACAGTTACTTCGCGGAGTGAGCGATATGGACCCCACTACCGCATAAAAATACACATCAATTGTCCTCCTTTGACGATTGAAAATATACATTTTTACAACCATCAACTATGAGACAAAAATATATATCTTCTTCGTGATTTCCGGCGCTAAATCGATGCACAGAGGCGTTGCATTTGAGCGCGGGAGGTAAAACGGGCACAAAAAAGAATGGTGTTAAGAGACCAATTCGTAGTGTCGTAACCTTAAAGGGGGTGAGAGTTCGTGAACTACGATGGCGATAAGGCACCGGGTGTCACTTGAAATGTGCGCACATCTCGATTTCATTTCCACGAGATGGTAATGTTTCCTTATATCATATTATATTACATTATATTATATTATATTATATTATACATTATGCCACCCACGATTTCCTTGATGTTGTCACCGAATCTAGCTTTTGGTCTGCCTCTGCCTCTCACGCCACACACACTATTCATAAAGAGTTCACAGCCAATGCCCTTGCTTCTGAGGACATGACCAAGTAAGGACACCTTTCTTCTGTTGAGTTACGAGTAATCTTTCCTTACAATCCATTTTTTTTCCAGAACCCACGCATTTATTTTCTTTTCAGTCCCGCTTATTCGTAATAACCGTCGATAGCAGTTCAAAAGGCGTCGATTTTCTTTTCATCCCCCTTTTTATCAGAAAACCAACATTCCGATCCATAACTGGCGATGCTGAATACGAGCGACTGTGGTAACCTTTTCTTCGTTCCCAATGAGATGCTCTTATCCTTCCAAATATTTGTCGACGAGACCATTGCGTTTCTAGCAATGAACAATCTTCGAACTTCTCTTGTGTCATCATAGTTATCCGTAATTAAAGCACCAAGATAAACAAACTCTTCAAGATTTTCAATATTCTCGTTGTCATTCATCGTTATGAATTCTCTCTCGTTGTTATTTTGGTTACCATGTCTGCATATTTTCAGGGCTTTAGTCACACACACACACACACACACACACACACACAGAGAGAGAGAGAGAGAGAGAGAGAGAGAGAGAGAGAGAGAGAGAGAGAGAGAGAGAGAGAGAGAGAGAGAGAGAGAGAGAGAGATAAAGAAACTGAGTGACTGATTAAACAGATAGTAAAATAGAAAAATAAATAGACAGATAGACAAACAGACAAATAAACAGATACCCATACAGACAATTAATTCGTTTAATCATTCGCGATGGGCAATGACGTCAAGAGGAATCATGAAGTGAAGCTGTCAGTAGGAAAGTCAGGTGAGATTTCCAGCGTCGCACAGAGGGAAGAGGAAGGAAATGGATGATAAGGTCACGGTAGAAAATGAGACGAGGTGAACTGCAACGTTGGAGATTGCAATTATGCTCTGGAAAGAAAGAGGGAGAGAGAGAGGGAGGGAAGGAGAGAGAGAGAGGGAGGGAAGGAGAGAGAGAGGGGGAGGGAGGGAGAGAGGGAGGGGGAGAGGGAGAGAGGGAGGGAGAGAGGGAGAGAGGGAGAGAGGGAGGGAGGGAGGGAGAGAGGGAGGGAGGGAGGGAGGGAGGGAGGGAGAGAGGGAGGGAGAGAGGAAGGGAAGGAGGGAGAGAGGGGGAGGGAGAGAGGGGAGAGGGGGAGAAGAAGGGAAGGAGAGAGGTGGGAGGGAAGGAGGGTAGGTCAAAAGAAGGAAAAAAGAGAGAAAGGGAAGGGAGGAAGGGAAATTGGAGGGAAATGGAAGGGGAGAAGGAAGGCTAGAGAGGGAGCAGAAGGGAGAAGAAAAGGCAGAAAGAGAATAAGAAGGAGATCCAAGGAGGGAGAGAGGGTGAAGGAAAGGGAGAGTATGAACAGTCGTCGTCAACTGACCTTGTCCTAAGAGCATACGACATGAAAAGGTCAGCATTCATTTATTCTCCTTTTTTGCGACACCAAAAGAGCCTCAAACTTGTGTTCTTTTAACAGGACTCCTCCGGAAAAGGTCATTTGAATGTAGAACAATATTTTTTTTCTCTGCAATTCGCCACACTTCTTTCTTGCAACTTGCTTACCGCATCCACCTACCCCCCCCCCCCTATCAGCGTAAGGTTACCAGCTGATTGCATCATTACCTACCGACTAATTACATTAATATCACTTATCTGCCTCGATCTAAATGCACTGGATATTGGCCATTGTAAAAGAAAAGCCCAGAGAAAAATAAAAAGATAAAAAAAAGTAAAAATGAGCCTTGGATATAACAGACAATGGAAGCAACAAAAGTGAACAAGAAAACGCAATCAGTGTGGTAAACCTGATATAATTGCACTTTTATCTTGAAAAAAAATCGAACAATGAACGCTATAAGATTACAAACCTTACACGAGAAAATAATCAATCAAACACAGCAAAACGACATTCAAACACAAAAAACAACAACATATACATATATAAAGAAGTCACTGCATCATCTAAAAATGGATACTGAAATAACGAAGTGAAGATGACACAACCTCAATACACTATGCCAATGATACTTTCATGATAATAACAAAGTAAAAAAAAAAAGTGTCTCTCCATTCTCCACCCAAAGAAGAACGACACAAAGATAACTGATTATTATGTAAAAGTAACTCGCCGTCTCAGTCGCCGTGGTGAAGACAGCCACCGAGAGATGGCACCACCGCGCGCCATAATATAATATCTCGGTAATTAGTGACAGACGCGCGAATTCTCACCAAGGTTCTCTCCACGTAAGCCTAACTGATACAGTGTGGTAAAGAATGATTCAGCGAGACCTTTGCTGTAAACACAACGGATAGAGATATAACGACGCATGAACAAAAGGAAATAATGAGAAAAAAATCCTACATATAGAAAGATAATACCGAATAAGATACAGAGAAAGAAAGAAAAAGAAAAAAGTTTCTAAAAATGCAAAAGAATCAATCGAAGAAAGAACGAGAAAATTTTAAAAATTATAACGCAATCTCTCCTGCATAACCCGGGCGATCCGGTTGACCATATTGCAAAGAGTCCACGCAAGCAAAGGTCTCGACGAGCAGAGCAACGCTAGTCGCATGATTGACATAGGCCTACATTTTTTTTTCTTTTTCTTTTTTGTCCCGGTGGTGATCTGCCATGGAGACGCAAGCGGAAGAAGAGAAAAAAGGGAGAACGAATGACATGGAAAGGAGAAGGGATGATGAGGATGACAAAGAGCATACGATGATGGTGCGATGAGGATGAACGGCATATAAGAAATGAGGAACAAAAAAAAAAAAAAAAACGGGAAGCAAGAAAAAAGAGAAGAAATAAAAAAAAAATATGGAAGACAAAAAATGAACATGACAAAATAAAAGCAAGAATATTCCAGGGAGAAACAAATAAAGGCAAAAAGACAAAAGAAAAGGAAACTGCAAATACTAGAATAATCGCCAGAAAAAAAACTGGTTTCCTCATCCCCCCCAAAAAAACCTACAAAACCCGCAAAATGTCAACAAAACTCCTTCTTACAACAGCCGAGACCCAACACCATGACCCAACCTTTCGACTTCGCCAACCAGGACACCCATGTTAGGTCAGGTTGGGTCACCTGCCCTCACGCCCGGCCCAGCCAAATCCAGCTCGTGGCAGGAGACGCCCATACCCGCCCCTAATACCTGCTCCTGATCCTTATACCCACTCCTAATATCCGGTCTTGCTCCTCACGCTGGCCCAGACACCGGCCGAACGGGTCTAGGAACATCCTGTGAGTCTCCCGCCGCTAACCCGCTCCAGGAGTTTTAGTGTTAAACGGCGCAGTAAAAAGCCGCTATTTGCGAACAGCTGTTTGTTGTGCTACGTATGCAAAGTCATATGCGCGTGCGTGTGTGTGTGTATGTGTGTGTGTGTGTGTGTGTGTGTGTGTGTGTGTGTGTGTGTGTGTGTGTGTGTGTGTGTGTGTGTGTGTGTGTGTGTGTGTGTGTGTGTGTGTGTGCGTGTGTGTGTGTGTGTGTGCGTGTGTGTGTGTGTGTTTGTAAGTGTAGGTACGTTTGCATGTGTTCGTATGTATAAAAGAGAATAAAAGGCAAATCCGGGAAACTCAACAAGATAAAGAGAAACTCTAAAATTTAAAAAAAAATAAAAAAATCATCGATAACGTGTATCTTTCTTTTCCTCAAACCATTTCGCTATTCATCATCCTTTTCCTTCAGGGAGATACAAGACAGCACCCCTCGAGTTATCGGCATATCAAATGCCCTTATCATCCGTGGCATTAACATACCACACAGTCAAAAATTACACGCAAATCAGATCGTACCTTACGTAGTCCTTGTTATACATCATTCGTTAAACATCCCAAGGAAAATACGAAACTTAAAAGCCCTACAAAAGAACAACTTCATGCAAAACAACTTTACTTCATACAGCCCGAACTCCCAATCACAACTTCTAATACCCTGATCCTTATGCCCCTCATACCCGTAACAGCTTCAGTACCTTCACTCGGTCCTTCACATTCAACATCCACGCCCCTTATACCTACTCCTTTTACCCATACAAATCCAACTTTACACTCTACCTCCACCCCCCCTATATTTTACCCACCCCCCCCTCCCAACTCCAAACAACAATCACTTCACTAAACATTATTTTTCTTCTGTTCTTTGAAATTCATAGGAACTTAAATCATCGCCATGGGAAAAAAAAACACATATCTTATCTCTCTATTGCCTTGTTACTTCCAAATAAAATTCCTTGATAAGATAGGAGGGTATGTAAGAAAGCCACATTGTGCCGTTTCGTGCCCAAATCTACATATCTACAAGTACGTCAATGTTTCAAGTGGGCGAGTTTACATGTCTGCGTGTGTGTCAGGGATAAATAAATAAATAAATAAATAAATAAACATAGATAGAGATAGAGATAGATAGATTGATTGACAGATAGAGAGAAAGAGAGAAAGAGAGAAAGAAAGAAAGAGAAAGAGAAAGAGAA